ATTATCCCAAATGACTTCTTCAAATCTTTCTCCAACTACTATAGCTCAATAACAATTATTTATATAGAAAAACTAATTATCTCATTTCTCTTGTTCGCAGGTTGATGAAAATGAAATTGAGGTGTGCACTTCCAGTGATGTGCATGATTTTGGCGTGCTATATTATATGCTATAGCTTTCTGATGAGTCATTGTCATGGCGTTGTCGAAGAAGCAAAGACATTAGAAAGTAATGAAGATTTTGACATAAAGCAAAAACTTAAGCTTATCAACAAACCTGCGGTTAAAATCATAAAGGTTTATCTTCTGAACATATTACAGAATAATTGAGTGTGTTATCAAATATATATAACAGTAGAATCCTTATCCTAAATATCCTTTGATCTGTATAATAGAAAGATGAAATCATGCCTTAAACACTTACTAAATATTATGAAAACATATACGATATTTCTTATTTATGAATCTGCAGTCTATTAATGGTGAACGGTATGGGTGCGTGGATTTCTACAAACAACCAGGACTTGACCATTCATCCATGAAGAACCACACATTTCACTATAAGGTATTACATTGATAATATGTATTTTCTTAATATTTGGAGGATTTTGTACTGTATGTAAAATAGATAGTAATTAGGAAATTGGCAATATTGTGACTGATATCGTTTCATTAATTGTTATGAGATAAGTATTTTTTGAGTAATATGTATATATATCTTTTATACCCACTGGATTGGAGATTAGAATCTAAGAATTTGAGTTGATGATTTAGGTTGATTTGAGCGTCATGCGATAAGTTAAACGTCTACATAATCAAATAATACACTACTGAATAATATCACTTACCATGTGAAAAATTAGACCTCTATATAACAAAATAACATGTTATATAAAGAAAAGTAAAGCTTCCCGTAATAGCTAAAATAAAAAAAAAAGATAAAATCACAATATTATTGTCATTTTTTTTTATTGTAATCTTCTCTATTGCCATTTCGTAAATTTCGCTCTAATCACTAAACTACCTTTTTTATAGCTAGTGGATACACATTGACCAAATTTTCTGTTTATATTTAATATGAAGTATAAGTAATCCTATATAGTATTTTGATTAGAATGAGTGATATTTCAAACAAGTACTTTTGAGTTTCCATTTACTTTTTTTTTTCTAGTAGAGTAATTAAGAAAAGTACCTTTATTTAATTTTAATTATGGTATTACTAATTAATTAATTTTATTGGATTTCGATGTGCAGATGCGTATGTCATACCCCGAAAGATCAAAAACGAAAGAAACACATAGCAACAAAACATTTGGCTACTTTTGGGAGAATGGCGTAGGCTGTCCTATTGGCACCGTTCCTATACTCCGAGTCACTAAAGATGCTCTTTTAAAAATGAAATCCATTGATGGCGATAATTCTAAACCGCAAAGTTCATGGAGCAAAACCTATAAACCTACGTCTTCTATTGACAATCATAATGTAAGTGCTTTCTTTAAGTTTTTATCTTACGAGTAAGAAATGTTAAACATATTTAATAGAACTTCGCAATAATAAGATTGGTGAAATAGCTGAAATTATAGATGAATATGTTTGCACATAAATATTAATTAAAACAATGATTAAAATATGTATTTTAATTAGATGAATACACAATATTTAAGTAGTTCTATTTTAACATGTTAATAATATATAGCTTTATTACAAATACGTGAAAATATTGATTAATATTTCGTGGAGAGTATATATATATATATATATGGTGGATGACATATTAGGATACATAAGTAATTGTATATTGTAATTCATAATTTAATATTATCTATTATTTGATACAATTATTGAATATATAAAAAGTAATGATTTCTATGAACTCAAATTACTGATACCAATTTATAAGATATTGATTCTAATTTCTGAGCATTACAATTTAGCCATATCACAATGTTAGTTTTCTCAACATTGTATTCACTATTCAGTTTGCTGTGGTGCGTACTACTAAAGGGAAACCAAAGAGTTACAATGGTGCGTCTATGAATATTAATACATTCACTCCTTCGGTTGGACCTATGCAATTCAGTGCTAGTCGGATGCATTTTCAAATTGGAAATGAATTCATCCAAGTTGGTTGGATCGTAAGTCAATTAATCTAGATCTGTTATTTTTTATACTCGATGTACTATAGTGTATCTTTTTCTATGATTAATGTATATGAATCATATTTTTTTATTCATTTTAGGTACACCCGCAATTATATCACGACTTCAACTCTCGTCTATTCGTGTTTACAAATGTGAGCGGGCTAGATCTTGTTTTACATTTTTATACCATATATACGAATTATGCATAGTTGATAAATTAATGATTTATCGTCACATGTTTTATGGTTTTATTCAGGCCGGAGGACATGAGTGTTATAATCTCTTCTGTCCGGACGGATCCGGAATGATATTAGTTAGTCAAGATTTTACTCCCGGTCTGCTTGCCGAACAAAAAAGTATTGACTTTGCTATAATGAAGGTCAGTTCTTTTCCAACTATTATACACATAACTCTATAGGTTTCAAGTATTCAAGAACGTTTGAGTATGGTACAGATAGGAATGTGAAGGTGCATGCATATATGTCATATGAATATGGATATGGGTACTGAAAAATTTAGTGTTGGAATATTTGTATGATTGTATCCCATTCAATATATATAACTCTTTTTTTGATGTGCAATTTGTTGAGTACAGGACAAAATCAATGGAAATTGGTGGTTGTTAATGGGCACCTCCTGGGAAGAAATTGGGTTTTGGCCATCAAGCAGATTCAAAGAAAGTTCTGGTACAAGAGTAGAATGGGGTGGTGAAGTCTATAGCCCTTCACCTCCAAATCCTCCGATGGGCAATAGTCATTATCCAAAAGGGAGCCCCATAGTAGACTCATATGTCCGTTTGATCACGACTGTGGACGAAAATTATAATACCGATAAAACTGTGAAAAACACAGAGAGGTATTCAGACAGTTGTTATAAAGTGAGAGATGCAACAGAGACGTTTTGGTCACATGTAGGTCATCTTATTATTTATGGAGGCCCTGGGTGTAAATAAACTTTGATAGTGCTTAGCATTATTCCAAAATTGTAATATCGGAAAATATCTGAAAGAAATAAAAAGAATAAGTTTTTTTTAGTACGAAGAAAAATAAAATAAAAAAATGTAAGAGAAATTTAAAGAACATTTTTATATCTTGGGGATTATTTAATTTGTTTGACTTTTTGAAAGTGGAAGAAAGAAAAACTATTTATATGTTCCAAATTTAGAAAATAGCGTATTTATATTTATCATAATCTCTAGAAAATTCCACTACATAAGCTAAATTTTTCATCTTGCAAATATTTTATTTATTATTATTTTTTTTCGACAAAAATCTTTTATTTTATTTTATATTGATATAGTTCTTTAGAAAAACTTTAATTGCTGTTAACACTCTTAAGTACTTTAAAACATTTTAGTCTACATGCATTTTATCATGTGTGTGGTAGTAATAAATAATAATGATTATTTTATGGAATCGATTTGTAAGAAAACTGACCAGTGAATTGTTTTGTGCTGGAGGAAATTGTGTGATTTTGATATTTTCTGAGTAATATCTATAACTTTATGTGGTGCTGTTGTTACTATGAAATTGTATTTACGTATATATAATTATGTAGTTCGGAACTTCGGATTATCAAAATAACACACATCTTTTTTTTGATAATGGGTTTGCTTTATAAATAAACCAAAAAATTGACAACTAGGAGCTACGTAGAAGAAGGTCGCTGCAGAGGCTCAGTTTATTTCATAATGGCCTGACAATACAGGGGATCGAATGCGGATGTGGAACAGGGGGTTGAGAACTGACTATGCTCTTTGTGGTCATCAAGAGGAAACAAGAAACTGCCTATTCTTTGATTGCCAATTTCTCAGCTCAGATTTTGGAAAGATTGGCATCGAGATTGTTAGGAAACGCTTTTTCAAATGAATAGAACGAACTCATCAGCATACAAAGCGACACAAGGCTCGACAAAATTAAGCTTTATCTCCAAAGGTATGTCTTCCAATCGACCGTTTACCGCATCTGGAGGAAAATAAACAAGCGGCGTCATGGCGAATACCACACAACAACAATTGTGAAAATGATTGATAAGAACGTGCGTAATCGTTTGTCTTCTATCAAACCAGGAAACAAGGTCAAATCATTGTCCAAGAGATGTAATTATGAAACTTCAAACCAGCAGTAACACTTGGTTGTAAAAAGGTTGAATAAAATTTCATATTCATTTAGAAAGAAATCACTTATCACGTTGGGATGTGAACTTCGGTTTCATAAATGACAATTTGCCAAGCGAAGATAGTAGCTTCATGTAAGGAGAGATCATAAATGAGCACTGCCAGCAAATAATAAGTGACGTAATGTCAATGATTGAAAGTTCTGTTTGATCAAAAATCAGGGAGCAAACATCTATTTATTTTTCCTTGACTAGCATTGTAAAGGTCATTTTTTTTCAAGAATTTGATATTCATTTTGATTAAAAATCTTGTACCATTGGGTTTGAAATATTAACAAGACTACAAGAGTCTAACATCCCATTATGAATCAATCTTTTTTTTTTCCAGGTTTATTATTGTACACTATAGAGAACTTGTTCTGTAATCAATATTCTGAAAATCTCCTATGTAGCATATATATATAGTTCCTTTTGCTTCCGTAAGATCCTATTGTTAATTTGGTATGAATACTATATCCTATGTTTTAGATTTTAATTCTAATGAAATGCGCAATGAAATGCAGGTTGATGTTAAACTGCTCCAAGAATCCAATCAAAACAGTATTGAAATCTAGCAAAAGCATTAAACGTAATTTTCCCAAGTTGTTGGTGACAAAGATTGACATTAATTTCCCATACCACACATCTCATTCAACAAGAAGGTAATACTATTATTTTATTGATTTATTAGTCAAATATGAGAAAGCAAACACTATTTTTTTTATATCATTCTGCAAGTAATAAGCCATATCTAGGTAAACTTTTCTGGTGTATCTATTACTCAGCGGGTGCTTGTGCTACTGGTACTGCATTAACTCGTACCCGTTCTCTCGGTGCACCTGGTGCATCCGGGGTAAATAATGTCCCCGGTCCGCAAACAAAAATAACATCGACCTACATATGTATTTCAAGTAGCATTGAGAAGTTTTGGTATAAATGAATCTATTGAGATATATAATGGTAAAAAGAGTCAACACCTCAACATCTCCGAAAGCAATAAGTTGATTTGCTATTGCAACACTTTGTGAAACACCTGAAAGGGAGACATGGAGTATTCCGTTGGGACGACTAGATTGTACAGCAAGACCTACATCTGTGAGCATCGGTTGGAACCATCCACTCAAGTAAAGTATAATCCCACGACCCTATATATAGCCAAACAAAATCAGAGAAACAATTGGAAACTAAAAAAGCTTCTATTGATTGAATTGCGACTAAACACTAACTATGCGGTTTTCTCGGGATGGTAACGATAACAAGGAGGCTTGTGAAACGTATCCCCTCCCTGACAAGATGTAGACTGCCTGACGAGAGGTCCTAGAAATATATGCCAGTACACTGACAATGTCCTGTTGTTCGAGGTTCAAGACATCTCTTTTAGAAAACTCAAGAAGAGAAGTGAAACTAATGGAGGAAAAGAAACTACTTACGGCTCGATTCGGGATCACTATGATTCTGCGTGCAGTGGGTGGTGACACTACAAAGAGATGAAAATGACAGATTCAAGATCCCTAAAAGAAACCCTAATTTTGAAGATTGGGAATATACTTACGAGGACGCATATTAGCCAATGGAATCACCTGCCCTCCTTGGAAAATACCATTTTGTCTGTGATGATAGAAGAAAAAGAGCTCATTGCCTTAGATTCCAGATTCCAAGATTGATAAGAAGAAGAAGAAGAAGAAAACAGACCTTGTTGGCTGATCCACTGTAATCGAAGAGTTCTCGCTCATGTTCTTCCAAATCGTTAACTTAAGCGATAAGAAAGAAATTGGAGTATGGAGGAATTTTGCCTCAAATGGTATTTATAAGTAAATGAATCAAAAGAAAGAAAGGTGAAAATGGGAAATTTGTCTTAAATGCTAATTTTATTTTGAATAAAAAGAGCATATATTTAGGCTAGTAAAGAAACTAATTAAAGTGTTGCTTTCTACTTTCTACAATTTAATATTTTTCACGGATGCAAATTTGACTCTCCTTGGTTTGACTGTTTTTTTTAGTATCTGAGATAATGTTCAACCATGGTTATAATCTTACTTATCCATGAGCAACCTAATAAATATTTAGAAGTTTTAATCCAATTCTATTAAATATATAGGAGATTAAAATGAAAACCCAAAAGATATAAATAATTTTTTTAACTCTCTGAAGCCATGGTTTAGAGCCTTAGAGTATCCATGACAGCCTCCTCGGCCACTTCTTGGTAGTGATTGTCAACACTCTTCCCCTGAATCATTGATCAACCTCCAACTTTTAAAAGATTGTCTCCCATTTGAACTAATATTTTCATGTACATGACAAATCCTTAAGGCACTTTTGAAGTCAATGATCGGGGTACGAGAAGTGATTTCAACCCCCTGTTGTAATACATGATTGCATAATCAAAAACCAATCTATGGGACAAATCCACATTTGGGGCGCTTTAAAATATTTTTTTGATAACGGTTTCCAACGGATTTTTGATATCTACAAATTTTGGCGCGCTGTCCACTTCCAAACTAAAACTTTGAAAGAATTTGAACGGCATACCAACATAATTAACACTTTTTAAGAAGATGTAAAATCTTTAATATTTCATAACCATAATTAAATTCATAATTAAACAATACATGATTGCATAATGTTCCACTGTTGTGATACATGATTGAAAAATCAAAACCAATCTATGGGACAAAACCACATTTGAATTATTTTGGCACGGTTTAAAATAATTTATTGGTAACGGTTTCTAACGGATTTTTTATATCCCAAATTTTGGCGCGCTTTCAACCTTCCAAACTACTCCCTCTGTTTTATTATATTAGATATTTTAGAAATTTAATTTTGTTTCATATTATAGAATGTTTTACAAGTTTCAATGTAAATTTTAATGCATTTGACAACTTGTGATTATTTATATTCTGCAGTTTTTTTATGATTGGTTGAATTTTATTTAATATCATATCCGCCTTAAAATCATAATCTATAGAGCAAAAAAACGAACCCTAGGTGAAATCATGAGTCGGAATATGAAAACGGGAACTTAATTGTATTGTATTGATTATATTCATACCTTTCGGAAAGTCTGGAGATCCGTCAGGCTAAAGAGTTTTGGAAAATGAAAAAATTAGAGAAATAAAGAAAATGTAAAAGAAAACAAGAAGATATCATTTCAATTAACCAAAGAAAAGTTTACAAAGACTAATACGCACCATTTTGTTGTTTGTGAAGAAGCAACAATAAATGGAAGATTTGCAATGTGGAAAGAGGAAGAACACTGAAGTGCTGAGATTTTATAAGGATAAGGAGATGACGTACCTCTGATATAAATTGCGATTGCATGTTTACCTAATTACATTCAAATGTAAATGGAAGAAATAAATTTTAATCAATTTCCTTTTTTTGCATATTGTTTTGATTTCTTTTTTTTTTTTTTTTTTTCCATAGACGTATATTGGGTTGAAACCGGAGAACTTTTGACTTGAACCACCAAATGCCCAACATCTAGGTTAAAATTTTTATGTTTCCTATATAATAGAGTCAAATAAAATTTAATAGATTTGCCAGATCTAGTTGAGGATTATTCAAGTTTCAAACACATGAAACACAAATTAATTTTTTTTTAAAAATAACAAATTGAACTACAACAATGTCTTGTTACAACAAAAATTACAACAATATTCTTATTCCGTGAATTACAACAATATTTTTATTCCATGAATTACCATTTTCTCCACAACACATCAATAACAAATTTTATTTTTCAAACGACAGGGGAATATTATTAAATAATTTATTCGACCGCAAATGAGTTTTTGAACGTTCTTCATCTCTTATCGTGGTCATAGTTCATCTTTTTAGTACCGCAGTCCCTGGAACACATGATCTATGTTTTGTCCCCATTCTCCATTGTACAACTTCAAGAGCTTCTCTGCAGGCGTAACCCCTATTTTAACAAGACATTTAGCTTCTTTTTCAGTTAACTGGGAAAACAAACATTACATGTCTTTAATCTTTTCAAGAAAATTAGCAAATTCCCTATTAACCGGGACAAAAAAAAAAACATTACCTGTTTTAACCACCTCGGTGACAGCATTCAAGAAACCGGTTTCATTGTAGCCTCTACGCTCCAAACCATCCTGAGCAATAAACAAATAACTTCAATAAGTATATATTACATTATAAGGAGAAAACAGGCACACCTACCTTTGCAAGCTTTAGGAGATCTTCTGCAACATGTCTCAAAGGAATATCTCTAAACATTGTCTTTAGGCCAGTGATTGGAACCTGTCGCGATGAGAATTGGTTTTAAACAATAATATTTCGTTCAATAGTACTTTAAAATAAAGTATTTATTCTCTCTTCTAAGTTTACTTGAGTCCTAAGCATCTCCCTTTCTTCAGAAGTCCAATCATCGATCATATCAAGAACAGTTTGGAGAGAGTCCTCATCGTATAGCAAACCCACCTGAGATTCACTCAAATACATTAGAAACAAACCCGCGAAACAATTGTTTATATCTTTGTAAAAAAGATCGTGTTAATTACCCAGAAAGCTGGTAGGGCACATAACATCCCCAAGGGACCTCCATCAGCACCTCTCATCTCCAAGTATTTCTTTAACCGGACCTATTAGTATTATACATAACATAATCATAAGAAAAAATGACTTTGAACCGAAATAAGAAACAAGGAAGTTGAATGGTGTTGTTGAAACAAAGCAATCAACCTCTGGATATATTGTTCCTATATGAATTTCCCAGTCGTTAATGGTAGGTTGTTCATTAGAGAGGTGAGAAATTTTCCCGGACATGAAATCCTGAAAAGTCAAGAAATATGTTAAGATCATAACTTAGCTCTAGAACATTTAAAAATTTAAAACTATATGATCTTTCTGACGAAGAAGAAGGAGCTAGACCCGAAATGTCATTCCTTTACAGTCAAGATAGCTTTCGTTTCGAATTAAGAACAACATTGGAAGATCAAGTGCGTATTCGACATACCGCTCAAACCTATATCAACACATTAAAGATTAACCATACATTTTAGGAAAAATATTGATCAAATATTTAGAAGAAGAAAAAAAATTAAACTCACCCGAATGAGTCATCGAAAACAAAAGGTAGCATCCCTGTGCGGTTCTTATCGGAATCTATATATATGTGACTGTCAAAGCATGCATGTCAATAGATGAGAAACGTATACTAAGCAGGAAAGGAACGTGAGAGTACTAACGAGTAATGTAGAAACCAACCTCCTCACGCTTAAAAACCCATTTGGTTTTCCATTACTAAAAGGGGAATTTGCGAATATAGCAGTGGCGATCTGTTTGATTAGAATATAACAAAAGAGTAAGAAAAATGTATGTTTTTAGAGTCCAAAAATCACTAGCATTAAAAGAGCATCAAGTAGCTCACAGGTTGCAAAGCTAGACTAGCGCGAAACTTCCTGATCATATCGGTTTCTGAGCTATAGTCTAGATTGACCTGAACAGTACACGTTCTGAAAATCATGTCAGGTCCTGATGTGCCAGCTCTGGCGAAGTGGTCTGTTATAAAGTCGAACCTTCTCTGCTCAGAAAATACTTTGACTCATTATAAAAAATAGCTAGTGTACGCCACAAGTAATATGAGAACTTATATATGTTTGTAGAGGAAGGAACCTTGGGCACGATAGTTACATCCTCGAGACTAGATTTGGGTTCATAGCCAATTCCTAAGAAACCAATTTCCAATTCTTCAGCAACAGTTTTCACCTGGTGAAGATGTGAACGGATCTCATCACAAGTTTGGTGCAATGTCTCTAGAGGTGCTCCACTTAGCTCTAGTTGGCCTCCTGGTTCTAGTGAAATGCTTTGTATCCCCTGAAATGTAATAATCAATATGCTAAGAAAAATTTATATGAAATTTTGTTATCATTGTTGGGTATTTAAAGAGAAGAGAAGAGAGTACTCTACTTGTTTTAGACCAATGATTCTTTCTTTCTCCAACACCTTATCCCAACCAAATCTATCAGCAATACCATTAAGCAATGCAGTTATTTGTTCATATTTTATAGGGCGCAAAGTCTTGACCTCGAAACCGAATTTCTCATGTTCTGTACCTATTCTGAATACACAATCAAAGAGATAAAAAATGCACAAATGAGTTAAAACAAATAAGAATAGTTTGATAGAGCAAGAGAGGAAATGATGATCATACTGGTACCTCCACATTTCCTTTGGTTTGCATCCAGAAGCAAAATAGGAAATCAGATCTTCTTTGGTCAGTGGCTTGGTCGCGACTACAGAAGAAGCGCTTGAGGTTGGCATATTCACTTGATTGCCTGCAACTAACTTGCTTATTTTACAAGTAATTAAGATATTACTTGTGTGAGAAGCTAACATAGGTATTCAAGCACCCCGAGTTTATCACAGCAACAACCCCAGAAGAAGAGAGTAAGAGCCCCATGGTTTAGTTCAAATGAATTAAGTCAAATCAAAGGAAATGCAGAAACTGGTCTATATCACTTCGAATGAATTAAGTCACAGTCACTACAACAAGACAAGTTACCAATTAGAGACGAAATTTTGCTGACTATACATTTTTTTTTCTTTTTACGAGATTTTGAGATAATTTCATGAGAATTTTGGAGATATTTTAACTGCAGCAAAAGTCCGTAAATAATCTCTCAGATTAGATAAAAAAATTTTAAAAAAATTTCTAGTAAGAAATAGCAATGGATCTCTAAATTATGTAATGTAAAATTATTCCTCCAAAATTATGTGGAGATGATGTAGCAACAGAAAGAAAACATAAATGAAGAACTAAGAAGACGAAGAAGATCACCTGAAGTTGTCTAATTTAGGAGTGAAGAAGAAGAGGAGCTAGAGCACAAAGGCTTGCAGGGTTAGTAGTAACTAGTGGTGGCTGTTTAGTATCTCGATCTGTGCACATATATATAATGTTGATAACCTTTCTGATGATTTTGCCCAAGCAACGTTAATTAAGACACCACGTGCTTAATATTTTTGAAAAAGACACACCATTATTGTTCTGGCAGTATTAAATTGATCTAAAGACTTCTGTTTCTGTTCAATTTCACGTCCAGATTCAAGATTTGTAAAGTTGAGCAACATCTCTTTTTTTTACAAGTATCGAACTTGGTATATATAAATTTTTTAAATGATCTTCGTAGACGTTTTATTATTACTTAGCATGTTTTGATTGATTAAATGGAATGATGTGTCTTTTAAATCCTTCTATGAACAGCACTTCTAATTTTTTTTCAGTCATTAGCTCTCTCTCTGTCTTCTCAATTAATATACATAGGATTGATTTTCAACGTATTCATATGTAAATTGATTGGTGATCACTTTTTAAATAAGATGTAAAAAAAAAAACCAGTTATCTTTTTCAAGTTTGTTTAAAATTTGTTATACTCTTTCTTATTACTTCCAACTCAAATGAACAACACCTATAATTCTATGGATTTATGATCTTGAACAACGAGATGTTTAAAAGGAAGACATAGTAAACATTGACATGGCGTAAGTGAAGTAAGTGAATGAGGCGAGGAAAGTGGGAATATACATTAGGTACGTACTACGTATTATTACTTCTCACTTTCGTAGGGACATGGTTGGGTCTACTTATATCCGTCGGTACCTTCGTGTCACTATCTTCTAGATTATCCCATTGCAATCATACGTTTGATATATGCGGAGTCTGGTAGATGTGTTAGTTACACCGCGTTTAGAGAACACATGAACCAAATTACCAATTATCGTTACATCGCAAGCAAGACATTTTCCACCCGTGAATCAATTTCTTTTCTAAGAAAAAAAAAACTATGTCCTAAACAAATTTCGTACTCATAATCCGTAAAGAACTACTAACCATTATCAGTTAAATTTGTTAATCCAATATTCTATTGAATTCCAATGTTATAGACCAAAACTTGATAAGTCAAAGTTTTAAACCTTAACTACACGACACCACAAGTGTATGAACCATATTTCATCTTCTTAGGGTTTATAATCTCTTCTGTAGATCACAGTTTTAACTGACATGTAAACGTTGACGTAACGTAAGTGAATGAAGCGAGGAAATTAAAGTGATTATCGATCATGTTTCTCATGACTTTCGTCGTAGGGACGACTTGGTAGGGTTTACATATTATCTTGTCGGTACCGTACGTGTCACTATCTTCTTGTTTTACGATCATTCTCAACGGCCAGGATCATCGTGTTGCAATCAGTTTAGTTTACGCGGAGCCTGGTGGATTCAAATCATTCAATTATGAAAGCATTTCTCTTCACCTGCCAAAACGTATTTAGACAAAAACACATTGTCGAATTGCTAAACATCAAACTTTCCACCCGTGATTTAATTTGTTTAAGAAAAAAAAAGACTATGCCCTAAAGAAACTTCATAGGCACAATCTGTTTTAAAAAAACAAATATATATCCACTTATCCATTATCAATTACATTGGATTCCATTGTTAGGACATAGGTTAGTGCTTAATACATAGATAACCCATATGTAATACATAGGTTAGTGCTTAATACATAGTGCTTAATATTTATTCAAGGCCTTAAAATCAGTTTTGAGTTGTTATGTCGTATAATGTAAACAAATTTGTGACAAGAAAAATGGGTAATTTATTCAAAGATCCAAACACACCCTCCCAAACGATTTCCCACACCGAAATCGTTTAGTACATACAATTTTTCTTCTGATTTTCAATGCTTCGAATTTCTAAAACAAAATCAGTTTTTAAAATCCGATTACAGAAAGAAAAAAAAAACTTATTCCTGAGATTGAGTTCTTCAGATAGCATAAACTCACACCCAAAGGTTTATAGACACCTTTTGTTCACGTCCCATTCTCTTAGTATAGCAGTTCTTCGAACACGGGATCTACACTTTGTCCCCATTCTCCATTGTACATCTCCAAGAGCTTCTCTGCAGGCGTAACTCCTGTGATTTCGATACCAAAATTTCACCACCAGTTTATCGAACAAAAATGTTGGTGTACAATTCAGTTATCCATTGGGAAACTTCATTTACCTGTTCTGACCACTTCATCAACTGCGTTCAAGAAACCAGCTTCCTTGTAGCCTCTGCGCTCTAAACCATCCTGAGGAATAAAGAGAAAAGATGCCCAATAGTTAGGAGCTAGACCAGACGGGATAGAATGCAGGCTTGGAGTTTCTAAGAGAGTGCATACGAACATACCTTTGCGAGTTTCAGGACATCTTCAGCGACATGCTTTAACAAACCATCTCTAAACGGCGTTTTTAAGCCAGTAACTGGAACCTGTTGGAAATCAAGTATTGGTTTAGAACAGGATGTTTTCAAACGGTGGAATAAGAAAATGTAAATGTGGTGCGTCTCGTAATTACTTTGTTCCTTAGCATCTCTCTTTCTGCTGGAGTCCAGTCAGCTGTCAGATCCAGGATAGCTTGGAGACTATCATCATCATATAATAAACCCACCTGAAATTTGCGGATAAAATCAAAACAACAGTCGATATTTCTTGAAAATCAGAGTTTCACCATGAAACAAGAAGTAAATATGCTAATTGATGTAGTTACCCAGAAAGCTGGCAGGGCACAAAGCCTCCTCCAGGGACCTCCATCAGCACCTCTCATCTCCAAGTATCTCTTCAACCGAACCTATTAATGTTATGGAACGTTGTCAGGCTTCAACATAAGACAGGGAAATGAAAGTCATTGGCTAATTAATAGACTCGTGAGGCAGATGATTAACCTCTGGGAATATTGTTGTCAGATGGTTTTCCCAATCGTTATATGAAGGCAGTTCACCAGGGAGACAGGGAAGTTTTCCAGCCAAGAATTGCTGCAGCATGAAGAAAATTATGATATTAGAAATGACTCAAGAAGATCCCATGGTTTTCAATTTGCCATTCCCTTGCAATGAAAGAGTTATAGAATCTAAGAGAAAAGAATAAGGACAGATTTTGACCCGAAATGTCATTCCAGTACAGTCGATGTATTTGTTGTTTCTATAGGCAAAGTACATAGGGACATCGAGTGCGTAGTCAACATACTGTTCAAACCTATACCAGATAAGAACAAAAGAGAGAGCATTACAATTAAGATTAGCCACACTGTTTCATGGGAAGGATAAAGTTCCAAAGCATCTTTATATCTTGAACACATACATATGTAAGAAAATCCACAGAATAGCACATATCAATTTTCCAATAACTCATCTAGAATGTAAAACAGAGTCATTGGTTTTGAGAAGCTTCTCATACCAAAACAACCGATGTAATGTAATTGTTGTTCATAGATTAAACATTGATACTCACCCAAAAGAGTCATCGAAAACAAACGGTAGCATTCCTGTGCGGTCCTTGTCAGTGTCTGTCCATATGTGGCTGTCAAAACGTACCAGAGTTATAAGGTGGGAGGGAAACAATAATTCAAAAAGATATTGGGGATAATAACAACTGAATCTAGATACCTTCTCATGCTGAGAAATCCGTTTGGCTTTCCTTCTGTAAAAGGGGAATTTGCAAATAGAGCCGTTGCTATCTGTTGAATTTGGATAATAGTGACGCAATGGTTAGTCATAATCGTTAATAAAAAATTTCTAGCTATGCAACAAAGAGCTCGAGCTACTCACAGGTTGCAAAGCAAGACCAGCACGGAACTTCCTGATCATATCAGCTTCTGTGCTAAAATCCAGATTAACCTGTCAAGATTCAAGTAATGCAATTTCTATAAGTTTCAAAATAAGATTCTTGATGAGAGCTGGAAAGTTTAGTTTAAGGAAAATTAAAAAAGGCGCAAAGTCAGAATATTCATCAAACCTGAACAGTACACGTTCGGAGCATCATATCAAGTCCAAGGGTGCCAACTTTCGGCATGTAGTTTCTCATAATGTCATATCTCCCCTGCACAGAACACATTATGTCAAATCTTACTGCCAGACTCGTCATAGCAAAACCTAACACATTCACCAATAAATAATCCGAATATTGGCTATGTAGAACCAGATAATATTATCTGAATTAGAAACAAACAGTTGTGAACTTTCTTCAATCTTAAGAATAGAGAAAGCCTCATACCTTTGGCATGATGGGTATATCCTCCCGACGCCATTTTGGCTGGAAGCCGATTCCTAAGAAACCAATTCCCATTTCCTCAGCAACAGCTTTTACCTGTGACATCCATAGAGAGTTAGTTATTTGTCACGTTTTAGGGTGAGAGCATTGGCAATAATTATCTTTTAAATTACCTGATAAAGATGTGAATTAACTTCAGCACAAGTTTGGTGCAAAGTCTCAAGAGGTGCACCACTAAGCTCGAATTGACCCCCAGGTTCCAGTGAAATGCTTTGCTTTCCCTG